CCCCAGGGAACCGAACCTGGGACTCTCTGGTCCGCAGGCAGACGCTCCAACCGCTGAGCCAAACTAGCCAGGGCTAGAATTATATTTCTAAATATAAAGATCTGATTTTCCATTCTCCTGCTCTGAGTCCTTCATGAGTCCATTCTGTGGTACTGCTTGTCCCCCCTGCCTCTAAGGCGTTTTCCCATATTAAGCATGCATTTCTCCACTCCCACAAAGACGGTTACTCCCTCCCGCATGCATTTTTATATATTCTGTCACACTATTTGAAAGTATTTATTTGTACATGCTTTCACTCTACCAAACTGAAAGATACTCAACTACAAAAGCTGTGCTTTATGTATAATTTTAAACCTGAAGTTGACATATATTGGGCACTCAAAAAACAATTAAATATTGATGAATGACTGAACGGATGGATGGAAACGCCACCAACAAAGTGCTAGTAATGGTGACCCTTCCTCTTATTAATCTTAAATTTTAGTAAAAAGTTTTTAAAGATAAATTTCACCTGGCTGGTTTTGCTCAGTGGTTAGAGCATCAGCCTGTGGACCAATGGGTCATAGGTTCGACCCCTGGTCCAGTTGGGGTCATGCAGGAGGCAACCAATTCATGTGCTCTCTTACATTAATGTTTTTCTCTCGCGCGCCCTCCCTCCCTTCCAGTCTCTCTAAAAAGCAATAGAAGATGTCCTTGGCTGAGGATTAACAACAAAAAGAAAATACCTATTTTGGCAAATTAACAGTTATCATTGTATTAATTTCTACATCTCTCCATAAACACACACATACACACACTCACACATACACGCACAAATATTCCAAGTTAAAATATAAACTACATTGGTTTGGACTTTGCATGTTCAAAATTTCATAATCTTTACAGGGGAATGGCTGATTTAAATAAATTACTGTTTAATTCAAAATCTAAAAATGAAAAAAAATATAAGCTCTTTCTTAAAAGAACAAACCTACTCTTTGCCAATGAAGAAGTGAGATTAGATAATCAATAAGGACCCTTTAAATTCTCATTTTAAACAACTGTTTTCATGAAGTCAAACTTTTATCAAACCAAACTATTATTAAGATTGTGTCCATTGTAATTAGCTACTTATTAATATTAATAATAGGCTGAAGACAAAGGGGAGGCCATATATAAGTATGGTCATCTGGGCAGCTTCACCAGGAAGCTGCAACTTTGTACTCCCCAGAGAACCACCAATCCATTCCCACAGACCCCTGGGGCAAGGGGTCCACAAAAGGGAAATGGGCACATGCACAGTGAAGTATGGGTGGGGTAGGGAAGGTACCTGTCAGTCTAACCGGTAACAGATAACTGGCTGAAGGGGTAGAGCCACGCGAGTGCACGAAATCTTAGAAGGTTCAACTGCCCAGACAAAGAAATTCTTGTTCTCTTGTTCCTTTGGCTTTGCTCCTGCCTCCTTACACTCGTCTGTGTTCCCTCCCTAGTCACGTGGCCCTAGAAGACACATGGCCCATAGCTATGTGGACCCCACAAGTAATGGACTGCAGCTGGGAATGCAAGCTAACCTAGCCAGATGCTGGACTAGACTGTGCAAATATGGAATGGAAGCTTTGGGCAGTGGTTTTGATCCTCGCTCTGCTGAAGACAGCCAGACTTTTCCTTGGCGGGACCAAGGAAGATGGGACCTTGGAAACTCAGGACTTTGATTCCCCAGAAATAAAGCTTTCTACAATACCTCATGCTCCAGTGTGAATCTCAGGAAATTCCTTTTCTCATGACATCACAAGAAGCTCACTTCCATCAGCAATAGGTGGAGACACAGGACACCCCATGGATAACAACTGGATAAACTCATCTTTTACAAGAGAATAAGGTTTTCAAATGAAGTGAAAGTAATTTTTAATCTCTAGTCATTGTATAGTGATGTAATTTTTGTTCTTGTTATTTTTAACTGATTGGAATAAATAATATAATATAGTTACCATTGGGAAACTTGTTAAAATGTGTCTTCCTTTCTGCTAACAAAGATCACCTGAGCTATTCCAATAATCTAGAGTGTACAGTCAACTTTTGACACAGGAAGTAAGTGACAAAGAAACTTTGGGGTAATTCTAGCAAATAGCACTAGTTTGAGCAAACGTGTAACAAAACAATTCTTTACAATCCAATGAGCCATGTACCAAAAGCTCCCAGTGTTCCCTGAGAAACATTCAAAGGCAATTAAATAGTAGCCATGTTACTTCATAAGAGATAATGGGAAAGGAATTTCCTGAGATGAGGCAACAAAAGCAACCAAATAGACACTACTTGACAAAACAAAACAACCTTGCTTTTTTTTTTTATAATCCTCACCCAAGGATATTTTTTCATTTATCTTCAGATAGAGTGGAGAGAGAGAGAGAGAGAGAGACATCGACTGGGTTGCCTCCCACATGACCCGACCAGGGCCAGGGACAAACAGCAACCGAGGTATGTGCCCTTGACTGGAATCAAACCCGGGATTCTTTGGTCAGTGGGCCGACACTCTAACTAACTGCTGAGTCAAACTGGCTAGGGCGAACTATGCATTTTTTAAATGCTGTATGTATTCTGATTGCCTGGCTTCTCACTGTCCCAATTTTGCAATGAAGTTTAACTGTTTTGAAAATGTTTCTGATGTAGACAGAGAATATTTTCTAGGTACCCAAAACTTTTCAAATACATAGATTAAAACACTTAAAAAAAAAAAAATCCGTCTTTACCATTGTGATTTGCCATTTACTTGAGAATGAATAAAACTTACTAGACTTTAAAAACAAATGTTCAAAAACATTTACCCAACTGTATCTGTTTAACAGCAGTAGATGTTTTGTGTGCTTTTTATTCATCCTTCAATTGAATACTACATATTCAAGTGCTTGCTATCCTGTGGCTTGTCTGCATACAGGGCAAACCCTGTCTCTGAATTATTACTGACAGTCCCCATTCCCAGGATGTAGGGCACAACGCCCACACATTGATGTAGGTGAATTAAAGCTGAGACTGAGGCCAATTTTCTGAGTGTCAGTCCCTCTCTTTCATCACAGGACTAAAAAGTGCAAGACTGTAAGGAACTGAAAGGACACACCACCGAGGCCTGAAACGGGGTGTCTTGCTCAGTGGTTTGTTGTAATCAATCTGAGATAAGACTAGTGTCCTTGTACTTATTCTAGTCGCCTCAGTTAACCTCCGGTTAGCATTTCACTTTTAAAAACACCTTACTTGCTACATAACTTATGCACCCTAGAATTCACTCATTTAAAATATACAATTCAATGGTTTTTTGAATAATTGCCAAGTTGTACAATGATCACTGTAATCTAACTGCATTTATGTAGAGCATATTCTTCACCCCAAAAGGGACCTATGACCCCCACTTAATGGAAAAACAGAAGAAAGAACAGGAAAAAGGGGAAGAGGAAAGGACAGGCAAGGAGGAACAGAGAGAAGCTGCGTACAAAGAATTTCATTTTAAAAAGTAAAAACAATACTTACAAAAGTGAAGAATACTGGAAAAATACATTCAGTAAAATGTTAAAAGTATTTTTCTCTTTTTATTCCAGGTGATTATATTTTTCCTCCCTTTTGCATTATTAACCATGAATTAGTCACTAAACGGGCAAAAGATTCCAGGAAAAGGGCTCTGCAAACGAGCAGTGTTCCCGTCACAGCGCCGAGGCATCTAGGCTTAGCTTTGTCCCTCCGCAAACCACGGAATTCACTTCTAATTGAGAGTGGCTGGACTCATTCCACGTTACCTCAGGAAATTTTGAAATAATGAGTATTTTCCTTTAATTCTTACTCCAATACTCAGTTTCAGGAATCACTTGGTATGTCCTTTCAGTTCTTTTTTTGGGTGGGGGGGGTCAATCCTCACCAGATGATATTTTTTCCGTTGGCTTTTTAGAGAAAGTGGAAAGGAAGAAGGGAGGGGGAGAGAGAGAGAAACATCAATGCGAGACACATAGATTGGTTGCCTTCTGCATGCACCCCAACTGGGGCCAGGGATCAAGTCTGCAGTCCAGGTATGTGCCCTTGACCGGGAATCAAACCCATGACTCTTTGGTGCACGGGCTGATGCTCTAACTGCTGAACCACAACGTTCAGGGCTGTCCTTCAGTTCTTAACAATCTTGTTAAGTTCTGTGATGGAAGGGATGGGCTGACAATGTAAAAAATAAACGCATCAGCTGCAGCTTCAACTCACCTAGATTCAACTGCTTCTTCCTTTCAAAGGGCATATTCCAATTCTTCTATTCTTTCCTCCAATTGCAAACACCTTTTTCTCTGATTCTACATTGACAAATGATTTGGACAGATGTTAACATTTCCTCCAAACCTCTTTTCTCTGAAACTTGGTAGGAGAGCAGAGTAGGTCACATTCTCCAAATTATCATGGGACTCTTCAAAAAGCTAACTCCCAGGAATTATCATTAAACTTTTCGGTATCTGGGCTACATTTCACTGACGGATATATACAGCCATGCAGTCTTCTGAGATAAAGTTGCTTTATTACTTAGATAAAATAGATTTTATCAGAGATCATCCTGGCTAGCCCTGAGATATAAACACCATAGTAGGCTTCATGCTATAGTCTTTAAAAATAAGTCCCCAAAATGTGCCCTTTCCTCTTATCTGTGAAATACAGTTCCCTTCAATTTACTCCTTATTTTATCAAAGGCTCCAAAGGACTATATGGAAAAAATTCTCATGATCATGTTAATCTACAGTAAGGAATTTTAGTTATTTGTAAACTTATTCTGGGATTGTGAAATAAGTGAACTTTGCTTAGAATTCTTAAATAATGCTAAAAAATCATCTTTAAACAGTGCATTCCAACCTCTTAACACTTACCCCACATGATCACATAGTTACTCCTGATATAACATTATTCCATAAAATCAAAAATTATAATTTGTTACAAAGCGTTAGAAGGGGCTCTCAGACACAACCTAATTACTCTATTACAATCCTGTTTTATAATTTTATTTTTTTTTAAAGGGGACAGTGTGAATACTGTCTTCCACACCACACCTTATGCAGTCAAAATTCCTTCATTTGGGGAAATCACAGTCGTAAGCAAATCCGTAGTGCAATGGATAAGCCTCACCCTGGGAAAACCACCTTAGTGATCATGGTTATCTCCCCTGCAGGCAACTATCTGTTTTATAATTTTAAAAGTCATGCAAATAACTCCACTTGAAAAATTACAAATTACTCTAATACACAAAGTTTGTTTTTTGAAGAGACCAGAACTATTTCTGTCATTGTGTGGGACTTTAAAATGTACATAGGTTCAATAGCACTGAAAATTGAAATCATCTTCTTGTCACAAATATTATTTTAGACTAGAACAAAATTATAAGCCCCTGACATATTATAAAACTCTGCTTAATGATTAATAGTGCTGAGTTCTCAGAGGCATTGCCAAGCTCAGATGTATTGAGCTTTTCCAGCTTCAGCATTCTTTTGAACACTCTGGGAGGTCGAGCATCTTATCTTTCAAATCCTTCACTTAGTTCTTGCTAAATTAAGTGCTTAAAAAAAAATCACAAATTATTTTTTCCCGTGAAGATTATTGAAGTGTTATGATTTAGAGTAAGTGCCTACTGGCTAAAATCATGCTAGTAAGTAAAAAATTATCTGTCTAATGGTATTACAGCTGTAGTCAATATTTCAATTAAAAAATATATGTATGCAGCTTCTTTGTAAAGAAAAAGACAAAGATTTTAGTAAACTATAAATATATAACAAAAACTTGTTATCAACCAGAAGCACATAAAAATCAATCAACAATTTTAAACACATTCCTTAAAAACACTAACTCTAGCCCTGGCCGGTTTGGCTCAGCGGTTAGAGCATCGGCCTGCGGTCCTGAGAGACCCGGGTTCGGTTCCTGCTAAGGGCACGTACCTCGGTTGCAGTTTGTCCCCGGCCCTGGTTGGTCGTGCGGGTGGCAGCCACTCGATGTGTCCCTTTCACGTCGATGTCTCTCTCTCTCTCTCTCTCTCCCTCCCACACTCTATCTGAAAAAAAAATAGAAAAAAAAAAAAATGTCCTCGGGTGAGGATAAAAAAACAACAACACTAACTCTATTTTAATGCATTAAAATAAATTTAGTATTTAACAAGCAAATTGAAATTGGAACATCTCTCAACAAATACAATAACCCATTTGTATAATACCATGTATTCCCCCAAGTAGTTATTTTAGCATTTAGTCATAATTAGTGCATAATGTGAAGGTACAGCTTTTTTAAAATCACACATTTCTTTTATTTAGAGACTATGTCAAAGAATTTGAAATTCCAAAAGATACATAGAAGCAACCCATCTTTAAAAGTAGTAGTGAAGGTATCTTTAAATGATTCAGTCTCTTATTTAAACAAGATTTACTGAGAATTTATATTGTGGCTGACATTATCAGTGAACAAGACTGAATCAACCTATGTTCAGATGGCGCTTACATATAACAACAAAAAAAAAAACAGACAGCAGATTTTAAAAAATTGCAGACGTAATGAGAAGTGAAAAACAAACAGATATACAGAGTGCTCTGGTGGCATGTTATAAGAGAACCTTAACTAGTATAAAATTGAAGGGGAGCTTTTCTGAGGAAGTAATGTTTAATCTACAACTTGAAAAATGTAAGTGAAGTTTACCAAGCAGAAAGAACACTGCGTGTAAAGATTTGAAGGTGTAAAAGCATGGCATCCAAAGTACTGAAATGGAGCAAAAAGGATGAAGAATGGGAAAAAGGGCAAGGAGAAAAAACAGACATAGTTGAATAAGAGATAAAACCACAAAAAAACCTGTTGATAATGTTAGGTCTTGCGGGTGGGAAGCAGATGTAATTTCTTTAAAATATATACACAGAAACATATCAAGTTCTCCTAAACATGAAATGCAAAATGTCCTTAACTATACCACACTCTCCTGCTGGGAGACAGTAAATCTGCATGTAAATTTGCATATTAAGAGAGATATATTTTTGAAGCAGATACTAAAAGAATTAAAAAGCTGTTATTGTAGCTCAGGCAAATACAATGGTAAAGAAACAAAAGGCTGTCTCTGAGGATGAGAAAAAAGTGAATGCATTATGTTTAAAAGGGTTTAATGGACCAGATTTAGTCTCTGTAGGTAAGGGGCTGAGGAAGCTGACAAAGTGATCACAGAATTATGATTCTAGCAGCAGTGTGGTGCCCAGGTGGATCTGGAAGGCTGGACAGATTTCTAGGAAACAGATACAGGTCTTCCAGTCAAAGAAAAATGTCCTTACCTGACTTGATGCAGTTTTAGATTAATTATTAAATCAAACTTACTGAATAAGAAGCTCATGTCTCATAAAAACTGAAAGATGATTGGAAATCTATCCAAAGATTCCCAAGTGAAAGGTGAAAGCCATAATGCTTTCGCATTTAAAATGAAGAATTGGGTTAATCATCAGTAAAAACAAGGAATTGTTATAAAATATTTATTACAGATGAAAAGGAATGATGTAACATTTAATTGGGTTTTGCCAAATCTCCATCATTTTCTTATAAAATTGGACAATTAAATCCTGTTCCAACAATATGGAATCACTGCAGAGGAAAGATAACTGATAATTAAGGTGAACTCTAAGAAACACTTATTATTAATGTTATTATTATTATTTTTGGTGCTTTAAAAATATATTTTTTTCTTTACTGATTTGAGACAGAGAGGAAGGGAGAAGGAGAGAGAGATACATCGATGAGAGAGAACATCGACTGGCTGCCTCTTCCATGCCCCCCCCTGGGGATCTGGCCCACAACCTGGGCATGTGCCCTGAAGGGAAATTGAACCAGAAACCTCTTGGTGCATGGGTCAACACTCAACCACTGAGCCACACCGGCCAGGCACTCTATGAAGCACTTAAAAGCAGAAAGAAAATGGGCATAATTTGCAATTATAAGGCTGAATGAAAATGTTGTTATAACAATTGGTAAGTATGAAATATCTATACATAACATCAGGCAGCTTTTGACTATAGATTTTATCTGTTAGGTGGTTGAAGGGAGAATAAATATTATTCTGAGACAAAAACAAAACCGCTCAGGAGAAAAATGCTTCCTACTACTCTATTGGAGTATTGAAAGAGAATCATTCAATCATGAAAATTAACATCTTGCACATAAATTGATGTTCTGTCTCAAACTCAGCAGCAATTCTATAATTCATGTCAGAAGTCCCCTGACGTGAGTTGGCATAGAAAATTTGTAGAAAATACTCTATTACATAGTTGCAGACCAATTAGCTGAAAACATCATCAGTAACTATAAACAGGTATAGTAGCCCCATCTTTGGTGTAGCCAACATTTGAACACAACAGAAGCAGTTCAAAAAATGTAATCAATAAAACCACTTTGTGCAGCTGTAAGAAAGAAAGATCTCTTATCCTCTGAGATGACATGGAGGGACCTGGAAAGTATTATCCTAAGTGAGACAAGCCAAGCAGAAAAAGACAAATACCACATGATCTCACTTATTTGTGGAATATAATGAACATAACAGTCTGAGGAATAGAGTAGACCCAGAAACATGGAAGTAGAATATAGACTGATAACCCTCAGAAGGGTGGGAGGGGTGGGGGTGGGAAGAGATAAACCACAGAACTTATATGCATGTACACATAACCAATGGACATGGACAACAAAGCCAGGGACAGAGTGGGGGGGGGGATAGGGAGGAGGGTGTCAATGGGGTAAAAAAGGAGAAACATCTGTAACAAAAATAAAATAAAAAATAAAATAAAATAAATAAAAATAAAACCGCTGTGGATACAGAAGATGATAATTAAGACACTGATGTATGAATAACCTCTCAGAGAGATCCCAAGCTGTATCTTTAACATAAGTGTTATGGCAACATGAAGAGACCAACCCACAAAGAGCAGGAATGGACACGTGTGAAACTTTGAAGCATACAGAAGATGATCAAGCATTTGAAGGGAGGAATGACAGAACCCAGACAGAGGGAACAGCCTGGTTGCCCTTGTCTGTGGGTAGAACGGAGAAGGGACTGAGAGTTAAATGCTACAGGTAGAGGTGAAATTTGACTTTCACACAATCAGTGTTTCTGAACATTGTGCATGGACACCTCTGCAGGGGCTTTCTTGTTCTGAATGTATTCTTCTGTGCTTGAATGAAATTTCGAGCTATGAAGTGGCACTGAGAGCCAACTATTTCTACAGGTTGGTCAGATTTATCTACAGAGCAATAATTGCAGTTATTTGAAGATTTCATTGTACTTTTCATTATTTTTATTTTTCTAAATATGCAAAAAAAAACCTGAAAAGGTAGATTCTTTAAAAAAAAAAATTAATTCTAGCCCACCGGTGTGGCTCAGTGGAATGAGTGTCATCCCATGGACTGAGAGGTCCCAGTTCAATTCCCGGTCAGAGGGCATGCCCAGGTTGTGGGTTTGATCCCCAGGGTACAGGAGGCAGCCGATAGATGTTTCTCTCTCACATCGATGTTTCTATCTCTCTCTCTTTCTCTCTCTCTAAAAAAAAACAAAAACCATAAAAATATATTTTAAAAAAATTAAGTCTAGGTCATGGACTTGAGGAAGTGGCTGAAATGAAGCTCTCATACTAGAAAGTAAGCCCCAGAAGGGCAGGAGTTTTATCTCTATTTTGTTTCATACTGAATCTGCAGTGCCTAGAACACTGCCAGGCACATGAAGGCTGTTTAGTAAATATCTGCTGAACAAAGGAGTGAATGAATGAATAAATACAATCTCAGAGCTGGACTAGGCAGCACAGGTCCACACAAAAAAACACCAGTTCCAGCAACTTGTGGCATCTGCCCTGGGGGTGGAATGCCTTCAAATGCCAGTATCTACAGTCTAACCCTTGAGGGCTTGAGGCAGGGAGAAAGAATCAAGACAAAGTATAGACAGAAGCCAGATCTTACAGACTGCACTCTTATGCATCTCATATTATTTCTGAAAATATCAGCAATATGCATCATTAATAACATTTATTAAGAACACTGTGGGGTGGAAATGACCAATTTTCAGTCAAAGGCCTGAGCTAAACTGTGTCTTCAGTGTTGTGTTTGCTGAATGCCTTTGGCCAAGTCACTTCATTCTCTGAATCTCGGTTTTCTCACCTGCACATTGAGAAGAATAAGTTTTG